TGTGTGTGCGCGTTTGTGTGTTTGTGTGTACGTGTATATGTGTGTGTGTCTGTATGTGTGTGTGTCTGTGTGTGTTTGTGAGTTTGTGTGTGTGTGTGTGTGTGTGTGTGTGTGTGTGTGTATGTGTGTGTGTGTGCGTGTATGTGTGTGAGTGTGTGTCTATGTCTATGTTTGTATGAGTGTGTGGGTGTCTGTGTGAGTGAGTGTGTGTGTGTGTGTGTGTGTGTGTGTGTGTGTGTGGTTTGAGTGGGGATAGAAACTCAAGAACAAACGGCCCAACTACTTCCCTCTTTACAGCAAGGCAACTTGTACCGCTGTAAAAATTATAACTAAAGACGCATCCTTTGAGCTCTTCCATAATACTTAGAAAAGAAGTCTTTACCTCTAAAGCATTGCAATGCGTCTCGGATGTGTCTCTATCACATAACATAATTTTTAAAAAAAAGTAAAAATATCACTGTTAGGTGTTCTGTTTAAATCAGTGACAGAAGCGGATAACGTCAGACCTAAGTAGATAAGTTTTACCACCCCTTAAGGGGACGCGCAACCAAAATGACAAAAATGAGCTCCCGCACACTGAATGAAAAATAATTGAGATTTTCTTAGAACTTCAACTTTTGGTAGGGACCTTAAATTTTGCTTGTGGGCTTCTTTTGGAGTCAGGTTTGTTTATGGCGAGTAGACATGCCTTAATAGATTGATTTCGAAAGTTTTCACGCTGTTATGATAATAATTTAGATGAATTTGTGCAGAGACACACTGACATTTCGTGACCATAGAATTACAAAGTCCTATCTGACATTTTGGGCCGTTTTGAGTTGTTAAGACCATGGGGTCAGAAACCAAATGTTCTATCTGATCTATTAAAATCGTAAGATAATTCGAGTCGTTATCAAGATATGAAAAAAATTGTATTCCAAAAAGATTGACATATTGTGATACTCTCAATTTTTAACGTCAAATTTCTCAGTTAGGTAATGAGCAAATAGAACTTTGTGATTCTAGGGTAATGATTTGGTGACCGTAGCTCGTTACCACACGCGTGACAAAGCAATTTTATACTTTATACAAACATTTTCAGGGTGTTAGTTTGACGTGAGGCCATACTTGCTGCTTATAACGGGTTACCGTTGGGTAAGAGTTACAAAGGTCACTTTAGGCCAACTGTCTAAATGGAGCAGTGTACTATAACAAAAACAAATAGCTACGTTCAAGGTCGTGGCGTACTGGTATTCAATGTATTCATTGACTTCCAGTTCAAAAAGCATTCCCTGTACTCTGAAAAGATATCAAAGACTTGTCGTTTCGGGATTGTTTTAAAATACATTCTGTTGATATAAATAACATAACCATTGACTCAATACGAAAAAAGAACGTTCAACGTTTTGAAACACCGATCTTTCTGTTTGTTTATTAATTCATAAGATTGATATTGTCACACCCACACTTCACCTCAGGAGGACAGGCTTTCAAAAAGAAGACCTACCGTAAGCCGTTGATTTGTCTTCTGCCATGAATACCAATGATCCAAGAGTCTAATGTGCTACACTTCTTATGAGACTTGAGAATTTTCTAGAACAATAAATCCAAATAAGGTACAACCTGAACAGACCTACTTAGGCTGCTCGCTGATAAAAACAATTAGGAAGATTCAAATGCCGTTTCTGGGACACTTGAACAGACATACGGACTTTGAACATCCAGCTCTCATTGGTAAAACAGAAGACAAAACGAGGCAGGGGTATACCCAGAGCACCTTTCTTGGAAAGCCTTAACGGGTTAAGGGCGGGATAATAATAATAAAAATAATACAATGTATAGCCCTTTTAAAGAGCATCCGAGCAAAGAATTGAATTGCTAACCATGATCGCAGATGTCTGGCTCAGATCTAGCATTTGATTCAAGAGCATAGCTTGCGTACCTAAAGTGTCCGTGTATCAGACTGATTCACACGGAGATAGGCCCTGCCAGAAGAGAGCGAGAGGAAAAGTGGGAAGTGGGAAGGGCATGCTGCACCGGTCATGTTGATACATCTTATCACGCCAGATTGTTCACTGACTCTTGTTGTTTAGGGAGCCTAAGCTTTTCTAGTCTTGTACAAGTGTTGTTGTTTTTAAAAAATTAATTCGTCTCAGCAAGACAAACTCTTTCTAGTACGAGCAAAAACTTACAGTTCAAAGGAACAGGAAATGGACTCCATATTTTTTTTTACCTAAGCCACCCTTACCCCCCCTCTCTCTCCTGCTCTCGCTCTCTCTCTCTCTCTCTCTCTCTCTCTCTCTCTCTCTCTCTCTCTCTCTCTCTCTCTCTCTCTCTCTCCACCCCCCCCCTCTCTCTCCTTTTTCTCTTGAACATTTAATTACAAATCATTCTAATATTTTAATTTTTTCTGCGTATAACAGTCTTCAAAAGCTGCCGGCTTGCCAGTGCTTTAATCATTAGTTTTTGACAACAGAAATTGACGCAACGTGGGTGACTGTTGTTTCATAGTAACATGACATCACATAATCACTTGGTATAGTAACCATTCTAACTTGATGTATAAATCTTAAGTGGACAACCTCTTGGGCTACCCCGTGCTACTGTGCTACGCCCCCGGTTGCTTCAACCCGTTGCCTGAAAACTACATTGAATGATCCGTTCCTTCAAACGTAATCACTAACACTGATAACGAGAAAAAGTTTCATCCGCCCCCCCCCCCAAGAAAAAAAGAAAAAAAGAAAAGGACAAGCCCAACTGATAGAGCTCTGCCGATTAGGGATCTGTGCTTGCGTTTGAGAGAGAGAGAGAGAGAGAGAGAGAGAGAGAGAGAGAGAGTGTGTGTGTGTGTGTGTGTGTGTGGCTGTAAATCTGCTAGTTGTGTGTTTGCTTTCCTGTGTCTACCATTAACGCGTGCATGGCATGTTGGATATCATTTCTGCCAACTCAGGATAATGGGGATTTACTCGAATTCACAAATGTGCAGTTGAAGGTAATCCGCCGAAACTGATGTGCACTGTTTTAAACTTCTAGCACTCGAGTGGTTAGTGAGTTCAGACTCACTAGTAGCATCAAGCAATTTAAGTGTCTATGACACGGCATTAGGTGGGTGGTCACTTGTGTGTGTCCTTGCGCTTGACACGATGACCATAGCTAAAAAAAAAAAACCACCACAGGGCGCAACTCAGTGGCGAGCAGTTTTAGATAATTTGTAAAATGTCTGTATTGATATATTTTGTGCATTTGGTATTCTTTGTATAGTTGTGTGTTTAGATATGTATGCATGCAGGTATTTATCACGTAAGTTTGCCATAGTAACAAACATTTTTTCACGGGGATCAACAAAATGTAGTTTAATAAATCTTTTAAAATCTAGTTTTCCATTTTTTCTGTTGATTAAAAAAAATCTATACGTTCTGTTCGAGTTCGAGTAAAAAAAAAAATCTAGCTCATTTATTAATATAACTATGCCCACGAAACGTTGCCAGGCACTTCTGCAGGGCAGTGGTCAAACATAATTGTTTTTTTCAAAAATTCTTGATCCAGTAATTTTTAAAAAAGTTTCTCTATTTAGGCATATTAAAAACAGCCCTTTGGTTGCACACCCAAGATCACTTAAATAATTGAGTAAGCTTTAGATATCATCCCACGACTGTATAGACGTCTCCATGTCACAAAATGAGCTCAACCGTCTGTTGGACCGTGCTTCTTATAAATGCAAATGGTAACACATGGTGTTGAGAGATAAATTATGTCAACTTTGGAAGGTTTTAGGTGCATTTTGTGAATCCCCTATTATTAATTTTGACCCGCTTTAGGCTTATATCAAAGAAAACCTGTCTGAACAGTGATTGCAGTGATTTATGCATGGGGTTTTAGATTCAGTTGGCTGTCCAACTTTTAGGCCTGTATGCAAAGATGTGAGAAAATTTCGAGGCCAGACGATATATATTTTTTTTTAAAAGCTATCAAATTGATCCGACTGATTTTACAAAAATAAAGGTGGTGGAAGTGGAAGTAAGTTTTTTTGAAATTTTTTTATTTTTTTGTCAACGGTCGAAGTTGTGATAGAACAAACAGCTGTCGCAAATGGCGTTGTAGCAGAAATGGTAGTAATAGCAAAGTATGTGTGGTAACAACAGTATCTGAAGCGGGAGAGTATTAATCATGTCTTAGCAACCGACGTGTCAGTGGTAATAACACCATTATGTAGTAGTATTAACAGCAGCAGCAGCAGCAGCAGCAGCAGCAGCAGCAGTAGTAGTAGTAGTAGTAGTAGTAGTAGTAGTAGTAGTAGTAGTAGTAGTAGTAGTAGTAGTAGTAGTAGTAGTAGTAGTAGTAGTAGTAGTAGTAGTAGTAGTAGTAGTAGTAGTAGTAGTAGTAGTAGTAGTAGTTACGTCGGTAGCAGGAGCAGCAGGAGAAGTATTATATATATATATATATATATATATATATATATATATATATATATATATATATATATATATATATATATATATACATATATATACATTATAACATGGATTGGTCAAACACAGAAGACTCAAAATCACATATCCATCGAACTGTGTGTGCCTGGAGTCCACATTTTCTTTCTTCCTTTTCTTCTTCTTCTTCTACTTCTTCTTCTTCTACGGATCCATCAAACTACCGAGGTCGGCCCCGACGAGTTCCAGCTATCCGTATTATACCGTCAGTATACTACTCTTTAACATGTATTGTAAGTCTGAATATTCAACCAGATCGAAATTTTTACACATGTCAAGCAAGCTCATTGTCGATCGTGAAATTTATTCACTAAGGCGCTCTGGTTTATTGTTTTGTCTGACGATGTCATTCACGTGGTTTTAATATTTGCCAAATATTGCGGCAGTGTTTAGGTAATTTTGACAACAAAAATCACACACACAAAGTTTGACTCCTCTCAAAATTTTCACCACATTAAAATGTTGCTTCTCTTTATCAATTTACCATACTTCGACTGACTAAATCAGAGTTGGGCACTCCGATTTCGTAAGTCATGAGAAGGTTCCATGTGAACAGACACTGTATGCCACACGAGATCACTTGGCAACGATCGTCTTCCAAAAGGCGAGACCCAAAGCGAGTGGAACGCAGAAAGACAAAATAGAGAGAAGATGCTTTCATCCAAACGCAACGCTTGAAAACCCGATTTCCAACAGCGATATAGACCCAAGATGATTCGAAATGAGTCAGAAATGGCATTCCTATATCTGTCAGTGTAATGACTGTTCTTGGTTGTTTGAAAGAGCAGAGCCATCGCGCTAGGTGCCTAGTTTCTTGCATAACATTGCAGCCCTTTGACATCAAGAACAGACTCCATTACGCACAGCATCGCGTGAGATGGCAACGTGGTTTCAGATGAGTCCCGATTTCAACTGTGACGGCACGAGAGACGGGCTAGAGTCTACGCAAGACTCAACCAAAGGTACCCCCGAGCTTGCCTCAACCAAGCAAATGATTTCGGTGGAGGCAGTGTCATGGTGTGGGCTGGAATCAGTGATGCTGGCAAGACCACACTTGTGTCTGTTCGTGGGAACATAAGCGCTCAAGCCTACATCAACTAGGTTCTTGGGCTCAATGTTGCACCTTTCTTTCAAAAATCAATCCCAAAGACAAGCATCCTTGCCTGATGATGTACTTGCTCATAAAACTGCCGTGACAAATCAATTTCCCAGAGCTAACAACATTCCTAGCCTCTCTTGCACCCATGACCAGCCGATTCACCAAATCTCAATCCAGTTGAGAACATACGGGATATTATTAGATCACGCCGTTCGTGTCAGGCCACAACAGCCCCGAACCTTTTACTAGAATCAGCCCTAATTATAGAGTGGAATAATATTCTTCAATATTCAATACCTCGACTCATTCAGTCCATCGACGATGTGAAGATGTGGACAACATCACACTCGTCAATAAAACTGTCACTTTGCATGTAGACCCTTGACAACTGTAAGCTCAAAATCGAAGATTAAAAATTTATATTCTTCTCTTTGAATTCAACTTATTTTCCTTCTTGCAAAATGAATGCAGTGTCTTATCTTAAATGTCAGACAGATATAATGAGTATAAACCAAGATATTGCCCTCAATACCTTAATATCAGGTATGAAGTTAAAATGTTAAAGAGTATAATTATATATTAAAAAAA